CCATCTTGAAAGACGGATCAAGGAGACTGATATGTGTGCATGTTAACAAGTGAATAAATTCGTAAGGCTCAAGGAAGTTGACTGGTGAGATCCCTCTATGGATTGCACCACTGACCAACCTTGATCTTTTGAGAAGGGTTCGAGTGTGAGCATGTTGTGTCGCTGTTATTTTAAAATTAATCGAGAGATTTAAACATTTGACCTTTCTGCTTATTTTATATTGAGTTAGGTTCGTTTTGACTAAATTTATAAAATAAAATATATTAAACAAAGAGGATGAACTTCAAGAGAACAATACAACATTCTTGTAAAGTGGAACTGTATTGTACTAGATACGATCCAACGATTCCACGTGAAAGAGCACGGATCAACTCGAGATCTATTCATTGAATTGACTTTCTTAGATTTTTTCTTTCGACACTCCAGTAAGTTGATTTGTGATTTATCATTCATGGACGTTGATAAAATCCTTGTATCGAGCTCAAACTCGTTTCTTTGGTGAGACATTGATCTCGATCAGTATCCACAAAAAAAAAAAAAAATAAGTAGAAGTTTCCCTTTAAAATGCTCCCGAACCCGATATAGATGTATATCGGAAAGAGATCGAGCACCGAACGCGGAAGAATCTATGTTAATGGAAGTAAGTATAATTAAGGGCTTGCATAATTGTTAACATTATTAAGGTAAAATGGTGGTTGGGCAATCAACATCTTTACTACAATTGTCAAGGTCCCCATCTTATCATCTTCTATGCTCGGCTCCGAACCTCCGTGCCCCACGTGACTTTTTTTTTTTTTTTTTTTTTTTTTTTAAGAATAATTATTTTCATTTTAATATTAAATATTTTAAATATTTATTTAATTCTATGAAAATTTTTAAAAATAATTTATTAATTTAACCTTATATTCACGTGGTTTTGAGAAAATTAAGGTATTTCAGAAAATATATTCGGCTTTGAAGTTTTAACGACAGAATATTGGGCTTTAGATGATCCAAAAATTTCTGGTTGAAGCTAATGGGCCGGCCCAAATAAGCGGATCCACAGCCGAATATAGCCCATCTATGACATTATAATTTTTTTTTTTATATAATTATAAAAATAGGAATGAAATTTAGAAAACTCAATTAAAAAAATTGAATTTTGCACTTTGTCTTAAAAAAAAACTCATAAATTTTAAAAGGTTTTTAAGCTTTTAAAAAATTTTAAAAAATATTATTACTATCAGTTTTGGATAGAAACGGTTAATAATTTGTTTGAAAAATATATTAAAAAAAATTTGAGATAATTTATGAGGTATCAATAAACGATAAAATCTTTTTTTATAAGGGAAAATCACATTAATTCTACTTTTAAAATTTCATAAGTATTTTTTTTAACCAATAGTAATAGTAAATATATTTTTTAACTGAAAGGTATTAACGAGGTTTTTAAAATTCAAGAATATTTTTTAGATTTTTAAAATATTTAATGGTACGCTTATAATTTTAAATATATTTTAATTTAATTTTACATTTTAATACGATCCTCTCTGCAATTACATCTAAAATTTCGGTCACTTAAGAATCCATTAATTTTCTCTGGTCACATCATGGAACACAAAAAATTGGAAAAATAGCCCTAATTTTCTCATGTTTGGAAAAATAGCACCAAAGGACATATTATTTCCCTCTCACAAAATTGTCGGTTGGTTCTCCCATGTGCTAATTTTGCTTAAATTAGTTATGTTTTTAATGCTTCATTAATTTCCATAGCTAACTTTTTTTATTTACTATTAATAATTTTGAAATATTAAATTATAATATAAAAAAGGTTATTGATAATTTTTATAGCCCAAATAATATTTAAAAAATTAATAAGGGAGTTATAATAGAAAAATCGAAAAATGATATTAAAATAATATATACCCATTAAAAAATTGTGACGTCTAATTAAAAATTAATTGATTTATTAGATATATTGTATGGTTAAATGAAAATTAGTCTTTCAAATTTTTAGTTCATACGGAATGTTAGGACCATTCGATTTTAAATCTTAATCCAAATCTTGGACATGGGTTACGTGAGCATGTCGGGACCATTCAAATTTTGAACTTGATCCAAAGCTTGGATATGGGTCATTACAAGAAGTAGGTAACGTGACCATGTCATAGAAAATGTTGAGACCATTCAAATTTTGAACTTGATCTAAAGTTTGGACATGGGTCGTTATAAGAAGTAGGTAACGTGACAATGTCATAGGGAATGTCGGAACCCTTTAGATTTTGAATCTTGATCCAAATCTTGGACATGGGTTCTTTACAAGAAGTAGGTTACATGACCATGTTGCAGGGAATGTCGGGACTAATGTTCACTTTTAGAAGCCAGAAGTAAGTTACGTAAACACGTAGCAGGGAATGTCTAGACCATCCAAATTTTGAGTCGTGATCGAAGTCGTTACAACAAACAGATTACGTGACCAAGTTGCATAAATGTCGGGCCGTTACAAATCTCAAAATTTCAAAATTAAACGTGTACTTTAATCAATTATTTAGTAAATTATTGTATTAACGTTAGGGACTCCAAAATTAATTAAAAGTGTAAAAAAAAGAGATGTAAAAAAGAAAGGAACAGCTAAGAAGCTTCATAATGTGTTTAGATTTGAAGAAAAATTGAATGCTATAATCAAAGAAAAAGAACACAACTTCCCAACATGGCATTCAATTTTTTCAGCTGCCAAATCACATGGGAACAATCAAATCCCATATAATTTCAATTTGGTCCCTCAAGTTTTAGAATTTTCAATTGAGTCGTTTTTATAGTATCACAAATTGCAATTTAGTCCTTATACTCTTCTTTAATACCCGCCTGAAAAACCGGCTATTTGTCACATCTATTTCTTCTCTACCCATCCCTTCCAATATTATTTCAATTTGGACCCTTTAGTTTTAGAATTTTCAATGTACTCCCTGATACCTCGTTTTTATAGTATTACACGTTTCAATTTAGTCCTTGTAGCTTGATTAAGCCTCACAAATCTTTTATGTACTCTTATTTAATACCCACTCGAAAAAACCTGCTCTTTGTCACGTCTATTTCTTTTATACCCACCCTTTCCAATATAATTTCACTTTGACCCTTGTAGTTTTAAAATTTTCAATTTACTCCCTAATGCGTCGTTTTTATAGTATTACAAAATTTCAATTTAGTCCTTGGGGTTTGATTAAGCCTCACCAATCTTTTCTATACTCTTCTTTAATATTCACCCGAAAAAACCTGCTATTTATCACATCTATTTCTTTTATCCTACCGTACTTCACGGTAAATATGATAATGGAAAGGTGACCAAAATTATTACTAATCTTATACCATAGGGAATAAATTAGACCTTTAACAAACTTATGTGTCACACATGGTATTATATTCTTCACAAATGTGGCTGTAATTCCTATTTATAATATGTTCATACATATGCCTAATTTTTCAAAAAATATTATGCAATAATTAAATTTAATAACAAATATTATAATAAGTTTGCATGAATAAAATTTGGAACCACATTTCATAGCTCTTAAATTTTTTTTATATGATTTATAAATATATTTCTTTTTCGGAAAATAAAAATTTATACTCTAAACTCGTCGAGTTATAATTTTGTTAATTTTAACTTCCGATTTAATTAAATTTCACCTAAATTTTAGAATTTCGAATAAGTTTTCACTCAAAATTCATAATATATATATTAATTTTATATGCTTTTAATAAACTATAAAATTAGTGATTTTATTAACTAAAAAAATTCTGATTTTTAGAGTAAGAATGAATTAGAATTAGAATTTCTCATTTTTTTTAAAAAAATATTAGACTATATAATATTTCTTATAAATTTAAACAGTAATATATTTGATAAAATAATAAAAATAATAATAAATGAAATTTTGAGCTATATTTTATTTTGTTTATTTCTCTAATTAATGTGTGCCACAAACATTGGTGGATAAGCCATAAAAATATCCTTAAAATAAACAAATAAAAAAATTATATTTTAATAAATAAATAAATAGGAGACTATCTCACTTTTATTATTATTTTGTTGTGGTAATTAATATGGTTTATTAAGAAATATTAAAAAAATAAAAAAGAAATAATTAATTATTCATTTACTCTCCATTGAAATAATAGGAAAGTGATCTGTTTTATGTTTTTGTTTGGGGCTGATTTGTCGGTGGGTATCCTAAAAGCATAATAAAACACCACAATTAGTCATTAGTAATACACAAATAATTCCAATAATTAATCACTAAAAACAAAATAATTATGTTTCTTTAATTTTTTTTTTTTTCATAACAAAATTGTTTCTTCACTCTCCCTATCCTTGGTTGCATAATGTCAAGATAAGATATTGCAACCTCCCCACTAATTAATATATACTCGCTTTAAAACCGTTTGATTTGTGAGATTTATGGAGAGCGTTTTAATTCGCCATGAATGGAGCGTAGAATCCCCCTTTAAATAAAAAAAGGTTGTAATAGTTCAACCTCATCCCTAATAGATATCATCTGGGTTTGTTCTCATGTTTTAAAAAACGCATCAACTAGATAAGAATGTTTCTGGTTAGTTAAATGGAATGGGGGGCGAGAATTATATTCTCATCCCGACCCCACCCAGATCATATTTTCTTGTTAGCTAAATGGGGCGTGAAATAAGAACGGGAAGGCTTCCTGGTCATGAGCATGGGGCATGAAATAGGGACGGGGATGCCTCCCCACTCGGCGAACATCGCATTCATACAACATTAAACATGAATATCTAACTCTGAAATGGGTTGGGTTAATTTGGGTGTAATTTGAAGTGATTTTTTGAGGAGCAACAAGAAGGGGTTCCCTAATGAATGAATGAATGAATGTGAAGAGGAGATTTGTGAGGAATTAAGAGGTTTTGTGTTTGGTTGTTAGTTTAGAAGGACCCAAAGAATTGAATGGTGGTGTGACCATAACGTGCATGACAGCTACAAAATGGCTCTCTCACATTTCTGGTTATGGGAAAAGGCAGAAAAAGTAGTGATGGGGAAGTGGGAGCTCAGAGTTTCTAACAAAAAAGCGAACTGTTAGTAGTTGAGTTCAAATTAATGCCAAACCAAAAGGTGTTTGATGGGGCATATAAATACCTGTGGGTGTGCCTAAAGCTCTTCATCCATTGCCCTCCACAATCATGGCGACTGGCTGCAACAGAGTGGCTCTGTTATCCTTCTTGTGCTTTTATGTTCTTGTATGCAGTGTGGTTGCCAAGGAAGTTGGTAATGGGGAGGAAGAGAAGTTTCTGTTCTTTGGCAAGAGTGGTGGATTAGGGGTTGGGTTTGGTGGTGGAAGTGGATTTGGAGGCGGATTTGGAGGAGGAGGTGGCGGCGGCGGCGGCGGCAGCGGCGGCGGCGGTGGTTTTGGAGGTGGAAGTGGAATTGGAATTGGAGGTGGAGCTGGAGGTGGAGCTGGAGGTGGGTTTGGTAAAGGTGGCGGAATTGGTGGTGGCGTAGGAGGAGGCGCTGGCTTTGGCAAGGGTGGTGGACTAGGTGGTGGTGCTGGTGGCGGGTTTGGTAAAGGTGGTGGACTAGGCGGTGGCATTGGAAAGGGTGGAGGCTTAGGTGGTGGAGTAGGAGGTGGTGCTGGTGGTGGACTAGGCGGTGGCATTGGTAAGGGTGGAGGCCTAGGTGGTGGTGCTGGTGGTGGACTAGGCGGTGGCATTGGCAAGGGTGGAGGCCTAGGTGGTGGATACGGTAAGGGAGGAGGGCTTGGTGGTGGCATTGGCAAAGGTGGAGGACTTGGTGGTGGAGTAGGAGGTGGTGCTGGAGGAGGGTTCGGTAAGGGTGGTGGCATTGGCAAAGGTGGAGGACTTGGTGGTGGTGCTGGAGGAGGGTTCGGGAAGGGTGGTGGTGCTGGCGGAGGTTACGGTAAGGGTGGAGGACTTGGTGGTGGCATTGGGAAGGGTGGAGGCCTTGGTGGTGGAGTAGGAGGCGGTGTTGGGGGAGGGATCGGTAAAGGTGGTGGACTTGGCGGTGGAATTGGTAAGGGAGGAGGCTTAGGAGGTGGTGCCGGTGGAGGTTATGGTAAGGGTGGTGGACTGGGCGGTGGAATTGGTAAGGGAGGAGGCTTAGGAGGCGGTGCCGGTGGAGGGTTTGGCAAGGGTGGTGGAATTGGTAAAGGAGGAGGCTTAGGAGGTGGTGCCGGTGGAGGGTTTGGCAAGGGTGGTGGACTGGGCGGTGGCATTGGGAAGGGTGGAGGCTTAGGTGGTGGTGCCGGTGGAGGGTATGGTAAAGGTGGTGGACTTGGCGGTGGCATTGGAAAGGGTGGAGGCCTAGGTGGTGGAGTAGGAGGTGGTGCTGGTGGAGGCCTTGGTGGTGGAGTAGGAGGCGGGTTTGGTAAAGGCGGTGGACTTGGTGGTGGCATAGGGAGTGGAGGAGGACTTGGAGGTGGAGGTGGAGGTGGAGGTGGAGGTGGAGGTGGAGGTGGAGGTGGAGGAGGAGGCTTTGGTGGTGGCTTTGGGAAGGGCGGAGGTTTTGGTGGTGGCTTTGGGAAAGGCGGAGGTTTTGGAGGTGGCTCGGGTGGTGGATTTGGAGGTGGGTTCGGTGGCGGAGGCGGAGTCGGAGGGGGCTTCGGCGGTGGCTCTGGCTTTGGTGGAGGTGGTGGCGGGGGAATCGGACACCACTAAACTTTACTTATATCATATCATATCATATCGAACGCACTAGATTACTTCAATATTTATCATCATCTATGTTATTCTATTTCTTCCCTCTTCATCGAATTCAAATTATATAAATCCACACTCGCATTGTATGAACAAACCAAATTCCATGAATTATTAGACTGACTTGTATTTTTTGTTCATAAAAACAACTTAGAAAGGGAATGCTCTTATTCTTTTTCATAAAAGACAACTTAAAAAGAGATTCACAACCCGATATCGCTTTTTCTAGTCCAACAGCAGGAAGAAAAAAAAAATTAAACCACGAGTCCATAAGTTCTTGTATTTTGCTTGTGACGTATGATCCTATGGTTAAAGTTCGAGAAGACTACGCCTTAATGTGCTATGCGAGAACAAAAAACATATAAAGAACAAAATCTTAGATAGATAAATCTAAATGAAGTCTAATGGAGAAAAGATGGAGATCCAAATGGTATAAGAACCTTGCACCAAACTTATAAATTTGGCTCAAAAGCATGCAAATAGAAGATTACTACTAAAAATGTCTATCATTTATGAACTTTATGGGGTGGCCCACTCCATTACGTACTGTATTACTATATAAGGTAAACAAAACAGAGATGAAGGATCATGATCTCTTGTAATAAAGTACCTAATTCAACGACGGAGAGATCGTCAACAACAAAGGTCAGACTCGAGAGAGACTCGAGAGAATGTCGAGAGCTCGGCAGTAAAAGAACCCGTAAATCTTTCACGTCCATAACCTAGTTCCTTGCACCTGTTAAGCATATAGAGAAAATCTATCAGAAATGTACAAGGGCTTAGTTTAAAGGCTTCCTCCAAGCTATGGGGAGTTATACTCTCCTAGGCTTTCATTTCAGTATATCATCCATGCGGTGCTCGAGAAATGACTTGTCGAGCTAAATGATCAAAAAAGATGATTGAGGCTGACCTAAAATGAGCCATCAACAAATGCCTTCTTCAGTAATGAAATTTCCTAATAAGTGGACCTTTCATGGCGAAGGACCTCATCGACCAGAGATAAATCACCACATTCAGTATCTAACTTAGTCATTTAGGAAACCTCTTTCGATAGAGATCATGGGGAATGTACTCAATGCTAATCTCTTGTCCATCATAAATCCTTCCATGTAAAGAGTGTGCTGCCATACACGAGGCTTCCGTTCTACCAAACTCGACAAAAACGCTCCCCAACACAAATAAACTTGCCAGATTATTTCTACGATCGCCCTTCTTGCTCTTCGCAGACGTGTCGGAATCTGTTCTCACCATAGCTGAATCATTTAAACACACTGATTTCTTATCCGGGCTAATTTCATTGGTTTCGATTGTTTCAGCTACTTTTGCATCCCGATGTTGGTTTCCTGGGCTGCTCTGCTGTTCAGAGAGTCCGCGAGGGTTTCTTTCCGAAGCATTCTCACAAGCTACAATTTCAAAACGTGTAGCATCATCTTGACCCATTCGACACAATTTGTCCTCCACAACTTCGTCATGATGTCTACCATTGCCAGGGCAATTACCCTGCCTCTGATTGGTACCATTGGGGCAATTATCAAGGTTAACGTTATTATCTTCGACATCATTACCATTTCTTGAAATCGCCATTGTGCAGTTTTCCTGAATCTCATGCTTGATCTCCACATCAGTGATATCACTAATGTTCTTGTAATCTTCTTCAGCACTGAAACAGCCATTACATGGCTTTACAAAGTTCATGGATTTAACTGTCCCAAACCTACAAAATTGCATGGATTATTTGACAACAATCACATTAAAGGAAAGATAACACGATTAGTAACACTAATAGTAATTCTCAGGACCTAGCACATTCAACCCGAATATCTTCAAGAACTTCATCAATATCTGCCTCAGAGAGTACTGGGAGGACATCTGCATTAAACTGGTTCCAAAAAGAAAACGCCTCATCGGAAGATTATAAATAACCACTTTGACCATTAAACTGCATAGTGACTGTATATGTGTGCCTATGTTTTCATTTTCTATTGGGTGGGGAAAAAAAATTAACGTACCACATTATTAACTTTTAACACTACTGTTGGCTGTTGAAGAAGAGGTTTCACATGCTCTGGGATCCCATACCATGGTTGACATTCATTACGTTCCTAACAAATGTTACTTGATAAGCAAGGGCCAAACCAGTATATGAAATAAAAAATAAAAATTTCAAAATGCTTATTGTGATCAATAATTGTCACAAAAATTAGGAAAACAAGGATAATAGCATTAATACCAATGGTGTAAATGGAACAGCTGGAAACACTTTTAGTACTTCCCCTCCAATCTTCATACCATTTAGACCAGCACAAGCTTTGGAGACGATTGATTGGTCGACATACTGATAATTAAATTAAGTGGAATTGTGGTCAGGGAAAAGAAGATTGATCAAATAAATGGCATATAATACAAAAGTTAAACGGAGGGAATGATATTGAAGCCCGGGGGCTTTACTTATTCATGCTTTCTTTTTGGCTAGGAAACGACATATAAATTAAGCATCTAGAAAATTCGAGATAATAACAGGCCAACATTTCTATGTGCATATAAGAAGTGCTATTACCTATTCAAAAGTAAAAGAACTTAATAATTTAATTGATACCATACTTGTTAACCAGCAAACAAAAAATCTTGATTTAATGATCAAGGGTTGCCATGGACCACGGCTACAGTGGCTACAATACAATACATGAGCATCGTGAATATCTTTAACACAGATGTTGCTTCCTAAAAGGTACGAAGAAATATGAAACTTTATCATGCATTCACTCTGAATATTGTGCGAACAGTTTCGCCTAGTTAAATAGCTGAGAAGAGTCATTTGAGTATTTTATAATTGGTGAATATACAATTACCTAACATACGTCTAGAAATGAGAGTTCTAGAGCATGTTGATATAAAACAGAGCTGCGAGTACGTAAAGGTAAACACACTAAAAAGATCATACAACATGTCCGGAACATAGTATAGTTTATAGTGGCAAAAGGTCCATCCATCAGAACCGAGGTATATATTCATATGTGAAAGTCTAAAATCAAATGTCAACAAGAAATCCCGAAGTCAATAATCTATCCTGCAATATTTCCACCAGAAAGCAAACTGAACCTATTAAGAAACCCATGTTTGGGTATTACAATAGCTGGAGTCTCACTTATGGCGGTTATAAGCAAGTTCAAAGACAAATAGCACACTTCATTGCATTTTTACCTTCAGCTTTGCATTGGTCTGCTGATTCCTAGAGAAAATAGCATTCTATGTGCATTGGTTAGAAACCAAAAGATTTTAAAGCGCCCATTAATCAGTAAAACTTTGAACGTTGAATCTTTCACTGTAATAAGAAGCAACCCATATTTGCCCCTCTTGAGGAGGATGACAGAACACTACTAACTGAAGTCACCAACTCCCGGACTAAGACTGTGATCAAGAAGCAGTAAGGAAAAATCACTAAATCAAGTCTTAAGGGATTGCATATACTACCAAAAAAATAATGCAAGGATATTATTATCCTATATGTGCTATCTACTCAAGCTTCCTTTAAGCATATGATGTAAAACGATAACGTGGTTTCTAGGTCTAAGACTTGACAGAGATGATAAAGAATAATGTGAATATTAATGATTGGTCAAATAAAATGAATTACTTAAAATGTCATGAACTGGTGCAGACAATTTCCTTTACATTTTTTAATTTTATTTTACAAAGTAAAACTATAAATACAAGGTGATTGAACTCTTTCATGAACAATCTAAACTGTAACCATATTGACATATATCATTAAGACATCGTAAATAATAATAATAAAAGGAATATTGAGTCCAAAGCATTTATCAAATAAAGAGACAACATCAATATCTTAAAAAGTTAATGTACAGAAACAAAATACTAGAGGATATCATATGCTTCCAATGTAGTATTTGAAGAATTATTATGGAGTATCATTTTCTGACTAGAAGTGTTCGTGTAAACATGATGCTTCCCAACAATATAGATGCTTCCCAACAATATAGATCCTTCCCAAATCATTACAAATAATGACATAGCACTTGAGACAAGCATGGTGAAGTAAAGCACGTAAGACATGAAAATTTACCTCCAAAAAGGCACAACGTTCATTAAGATCATCGTTCATCTCAAAGTGATAGGCCTTCAAAGGTCCAAATGCAGTAACAATATCTCTAAGCTGGAGAACAACAACAAGAAACAATCACCAAATGTATATTACAAAGTGAGAACAGTAGTGAAAGGTAAAGATCATATGCAAGGTATGATATTTACAAGGTGAAAATACTATTTCCTCGAATTACCATTTCAGATGATATTCTATTTGAGATCCCAGCAATGAAAATCTGCAACAAAATTCAACATAGCCAAAGCAGAAAATAAGGTCACTAAGAGTAGTAATAACTCAATAAACTTATTCAAGTTTAGACAAGAATAGCTTAATAGGACACGAGTAATTTTAGTTTGTTAAATACAGTGATATAGACACATCCAGTGCTCTAATGATGATGTGTGGTGCAAAATATATCAAAACAACCCATTGCCCCCTCTATATGTCAGAAAAGTTGTATATTAAATAAACCAGGGAATACCATTCAGACTATAGACAGCAAAATAGTAAATATTTAAATGACGCTAAAACACTAGAATTCTAATAGCTTTACTCGACCTGAGAAAAGAAAAAAATAAAAATGAAATGAAAATGAAAGCAAGAAAGTTACTATCAAATACTTATTATACTCAACCTCAACTATTTGGACCAGTTTATGGAAAGAGTTCAAAATAAAATTTCAAAATGGAATAAATACTTTTCTTCATTCAGGGTCCCTTGAAGGTGGAAAAAGGAGATGCCATTCAGAAACTTCATTTGGGAGTAGGAACTAGGAAGGGCAGTCACTCTCAAATACTTTTTATACTCAACCTCAACTATTTGGACCAGTTTATGGAAAGAGTTCAAAATAAAATTTCAAAATGGAATAAATACTTTTCTTCATTCAGGGTCCCTTGAAGGTGGAAAAAGGAGATGCCATTCAGAAACTTCATTTGGGAGTAGGAACTAGGAAGGGCAGTCACTCTGGGAAAAAAATTTCTTTAATGGATCTA